GCTCGTAAGCACGGACCAGTGGAATGCACCCTAATCTGGACATTTTGGACCTTGGAAAGTATCAGTACAAACTCAAGGCTGACGGAAAATAGTCTGCCTGAATAAATCAACAGTTGTGGTTATCTGAATCTCTCCCCAGCTGGACTCAGAACAGGCTGATTTAATTTCTCCTGGGAAATGTGTCAACTAAGGAAAAGCTTCGTTTATCGCACCCCCCCACGTGGAGTCTTATTAGAACTGTGCCGGCTGACCATCGTCTTATCAGGACAATGGACTATCTAAGGCTTCATGAGCAAGCCACAGAGTAACTGAACTCAGATTGACAGATTTACGTTTTGGTGTACTGAGGCATATTCTGAGCTGGAGCAGTGGCGCGCACATGAACTTGGCATGAACTCGTGCACGCCTCTGCTCCAGCTCAAAATATGCCATAAAGGAAGTTCTTCTTTGGTGTTTTATGGCAGATTGCATCCACTCTGTTGCATTATTGCCCCCGTGAGACTGAACCCCACACCTACATTTCCGTAAAGGAAGGTGCACTGATGTGAAACATAAATCGTGTCACACAAAAAAAACGAGTTTTGGAATTGAAATTGAATTATAGAAATGAAAAGGAAAGTAGTCAAACTGAATTTTCAATACAAGGAAATACAGTTTCAAACCATTAGATTCAGATTCAATTCAGCAAATTAATTTGAATACTTTGAAAATACGCAAATACAGATTCAGTTTGAGCAATTCAAATTCAGTTTCTGAAGGCACAAGTTTCTGCCCATATCAAAGTGCTACATGTTGCTATTGCTGGGATCATTCATGCTCTTAAATAACTTTAAACTTCCATGTAAATAACTGTATTGGAAAACTGACAAAAGGTTTATAAAATGCGATTCACATGAACCGTTATGAAAGGTTAGAGTTTGGAGTCCTGTTGATTGTAAAGCCAATCATGATGGATGTAAAATATTTTTCCAAACTTGGGTCATCTACCACAGGTAAGAGAAGTGGTTGTGACTTATTGAAGTTCTTTGACAGAAGGCTAAGAGCTTCACATATTTACAATTGGTTTATTTAATTTATAATCTAAGGTTAGCCTTTGATTAAAACATCAGAATGCCACACCATATAATTGTAGAACACATGATTTTGATGACTTATCCACCTTATTCCTGGGGGCTCTGCTGTCTAAATGATTCTGGGGACAACTTCCTGTCAGACAGGAAGTAGCAGTTAGAACTGGTTATCCATGGTAGCAGAGCACGGACTGCGGTTTATTTGAAAGTAATTTGCATTCAGTTTATCAGATAAAACTCTGTTTTTGTTTTGTTCACATTTATTTAACGATTATAACGTTGACTAAAATAGCCGTGCTGAGTTCAGGTACGTGTTGTGTTCAGGGCTGCAGGAACAACCAGACCAAACTAAATCAGTGGCTACAACAACAGAATTTTGAACAAGGACCCAAAACCAAAAGAGTTCCTGTGAAAAGACGTATAGTTTCCATCTCCTATCTACAGATGAGGAATTAAGAAGAATGTGGCTGAAAATGTGACCTTGAAGAGACCACCCAAAACACTGTCTGTGTGCTCATTTCACTTTGTTGCAAACGGCCGACGGAGGAAAACCTGCATCCTACTTTGTGTCTGGACTACAATAAACCACCGGAGAAGAGACTCAGAAAGATTGAAAACAGTGACGAGAACATCAGGGATGATGACTTCAGAGCTTCTCAGGTTGTTCATCGCTTCATCGTCAGAAGAACCGAGTTGATGAAGTAGCTAAATATGCTAGTAGATGTAGCTAAATATGCCAGTAGATGTAGCTAAATATGCCAGTAGATGTAGCTAAATATGCTAGT